CTTCTAAATCTCATTTTGATCTAGATCTGAGATTTGGAGCTCTTGGATTCAAAGAAAGCAGCTTAATGTATTAAGCATTAGGAACTCAGGAAACCATGACGTGTTTGCAAGTCGACACGACGTGTTGGATGGGGTTTTCCTGACTATTTGGATGATAGCGAAACATAGGGTGTTGGAAAGTCAACACAGCGTGTTGGGTCAACATGGATGGTTGACCTTAACATTGACTTTTTTATTTGGCTAGGTTTTACTTAGAGGGGGGGGGGGGTAAGGTATTTTGAGTTATATCTAAGGATGGTTACTGTTTAGGTGATGGGTAGAGCTGATATTCGGAGTCGGGACCTATTCAGCTATCGCAAAAGGATATTCGGACTTAAGTTGAAAAGATTTGAGATGGGGATGCTAGAAGTGTAATTATGAGGGAAGTTGCATATGACCGGGTATATATATAACCCGTCACTTTGTCCGTAACCCTAACCCTAGGAAGTTTTTCAGCCGCCACCTTAGATCTCCCTTCACCTCTAACTGCCACCATCACTTCTACGATTGTTGGCGCCGCCACCACTATTGTTGAGGTCGCAAGCCACCAAAGGCAACCACTACGACCATCCTACTGCCAGAGAAATGAAACCATGGTGGAGCCGCCACTATTTTCTGTTGAAAAGGCACCACCTTTCTCCCACTGTTGCATTACTTCCACTGCTGCACTCCAATCGTTAAAGACGAAGCCACCACTAATGCCAGCAGTTAGCTTTGTTGTTGTTCGTTGTGGTCTCTGCTCGTTCTCCTATCGCTACTTCACAACCACAACCGCTGCCGCGGCTCCAACGATTGTTCCACCCATTGCAATCGTCTTACACCACCAGGTGGGGGTTGGGTTCATCCTCCGAGAAAAAGGCATGTGTGCATTTTGTTTGACCAGAAATTTAAAAGGTGAAATCATAATCACCACCCGTGAGGTGGTGGCTATCACCTCCGACCACCGCCTACCACCACAAGGATGGCTGAGTGTACGTGTCTATGTGTGTGTATATGTGTGTGTGGGTTATATTGTGTGTGTTCTTTTGGATATTATGTGTATAATGTATTGTTTGGCTGGATTAATCAAGGAAACAACCCACCACCACCAACGTGAGGTGGTGGTTGTCACCTTCTGCCGCTACCAGCCGCTAGTTGGGTGGCGATGTGCATTGTATGATTGGATAATTAGTTTATATGCTTGGACATATTTAGTCAAAAATTATAACCACCACCGTGAGCCGCCGTTGACCACCACTACCCGAGTTGGTAGTGGGTGGTGCCTAACTTAATTAACATTAATTAGCCTGAAAACTTAACAAATGGACTAACTGGAACGCGATTGGGTTGGAAACCCTAAATAGGGTTTAGAAAACCCTAATTTTGGATATGTTAATTTGGAATTATCAGTTACCGCATTTTGGACTGTTAGATTGGAATTATGAATTAAACCTGATCAAATTGTATGGTTGACCTAGTAGAGTGATGGACTTAATGGATTAAGTCCTTAATAGGTTAAGCGAGAACACTTAACCCTAATCGTCATTTTATGTGAAAAGCCTAATTTTGTTTGGGCCTTGAGTTGGGCCTTTCTATTGGGCTTTGGTGATTGGGCTATTGATGGGCCATCTAAGAACAAGTATATGGACTAGAATATTTGGATGGTCTTTAGGGTAAGGCCCATGTGAGGAGTTTGGGCCAAATTTGGAAAATTGGGCCATAGATGGGCCATATTTGGGCCTTGATGATTATGAGATATTGGACCATCGAAATGCTAAGTGTTGGGACTAGAATAAACTGTTGGGCATTAGGGTAAGACCATGTAGAGGTTTGGGCCCAATTTGGAAAATTGGGCTATATGTTAGTATTTGGTTTATTGTTTGACTTTTAGGCCTTTTGAGTATGATTTTGGGCCTAGGGCTTAAATCAAGCTAAGTTGGGGGTAAAGTAGTCTTTTACCTCAATCATGGACTTATGCTTATGTATTGGAACCCACTTATTAATTAGGTGTTGTTTTGATGTTGACAGTTCGAGAATCTGTTATCCAACAACTAGAGCTTTGTCTGTGGGACTTCAACAATGCAAGGTAAGTTACCTTCCTATAGAAGTGGGTCGAAGGCACCATTTCCGGCCCGCTAGTAGTTGATTATAGTAGAGATGATTATCTTTGTGATAATTATCTTGTATGTCACTATCTGTTATGCTTTATGTACTAGTATGCTATGATATTGTGTGATAGTGGTAGGATTGGTAGATTAAAGCCCGTAACCGGTTGAAATAAACCGGAGGGTAGGTCGGGCACCCAGATAGGCATGGCAGTATGTTTATGCTATGTTATTATGTGGTAGTGGTAAGGGTGAAATAGTCCTAGCAACCGGTTGAAATAAACTGGAGGGTAGGTCGGGCACCCAGATATGCCTGACAGGGGTAGGTCGAACACCTCGGTATGTCTGACAGGGGTAGGTCGCACACCCCGGTATGCCTGACACAGGTAGGTTGAGCACCCAGATATGCTCAGTAGGGTAGGTCGGGCACCCATATATGCCTGGCAGTATGTTTATTATATGGTATGTGGTATGATGAGGGAACTTACTAAGCTTCGTGCTTGTGGTTTTTAGTTTTGGTTTCAATTACTTCTTCTGTAAAAGGAAAGGAGCTGGTATGATCGCAGCGCATCACATTATGTATTCCGCACATGAGATCTTTGGGATTATACTCTGATGTTGTTCCATTATGACATGTTTCGATTCTTGACATATTGGTTTTGATATGGGATGACACTATGGATGTTTTTTATACTATCGGTTATTACATTAACGTAATTAAAATGAAATTTTTGGCCTTGAATTTTGGTATGTTACATAATTGCTAAGGGTATGCTTTAAAAATTGTATACAGTTAGAATCTTATAGCCTTAAAATGATTGGGTTGGCCTTATTTCTTGTTCCTCATTTGGTTGTGGTCCTAGGGTAGAATATTTTATTCGTCAATCTATTTGATCTTGTATTGTGTATGATTTCCATGCATAAGGAAATCGGCAGTAAGAATGGAAGTTCCTAGCATGAGTTATAGTATGTAAGTTTGAACGTTCTTTGGTTATTCTATGGATTGGAGTGCTACTGCATGAATGTTGCTTGCTTTGTGCTTTGTGGGACTCTTAAGTAATGCGAGTTAGCTATTAAGTGAATATGTTAAGTCACATGTAATAAAGGTTGAATAATCTTAGAGTGATGGATTTGACCTTATTGTGCAGTTCTCGTTTGAGTCTAACCGTTGTAGGATGAGTCTTTTACTCGAAGGATTATCTCAGCTTGGTTAATGTGATTGTGTTCATGAGGTAGCTAATTGACATTATGTGTATTTCTTCACCAACTGATGACAGGGTGAGGTCGGAAACCTAGGAAATGCTTTGGTGGGTTTTGTTGTGCTGTTTAACGAGTGCTTAGAGTATTAGTTGGCTTGGAGGATTTGGGATGATTCTTGAGGAAAGTATGGATATGTGTGGAGGGTATTATTGGACCAATACTACTGAAAGCACATTATCCATACTCCAATCGGTGAGAGTCTTGGAGAATCTAGGAAGCCTGTGAGATGAGGATTCTTAGTATGGAAGTATTGATACCAGTGCCATTAGTATATATCAGTTCGGTACTCGATTCCTATAAAATACAGTTTTGGATTTCGATACTAGTTCAGTCAGTTCCGGTAACATGTTATGTCCTATGTTCCTCTGTTTCTTTCAATGTTTTGATGTTATTCTTTAGTTACATGACTTACCTTTAAAAGAATACCAAGATACTCATGAAAATGCCAATATGCACATTTAATTAATTAATCTCACACTAATGGTGTAAACCCATTTGGTCTCTGGTTTTCCTCTCATCGGACTACAAAAACCTTGTAACCTGATCCTCCACAAAACATATTTGGATCTTGGGTAGTGTATCAAAACCTATCAAAAAAAAACAAGTGCAAAAATACATTTTCCCAACATCAAAAAACAAGTGCAAAAATACATTTTCCCAATATTATTGACTTGACAAAAAGTTTCATTGGTCTACTATGTACCCTTACACAATTATGTAACGAGGGAAACCTTATACTATAATGGTCGCTATCTAAACACATCATCATTCACCAATGTCTACTCAATTTCTTGTTGTCTATGTCTGGATACATCACCATTATATAATGTCACTATCTGGATGTGTCAGCATTCACCATTCACCAATATTAGTTTAAAACCTCATAACGAATTAAGATCATTCTTGTAGTCTACTCAACTTCTTGAACTTGCTTTTGGATGCCTACCTAGCTTAATACTAAGTAGATTGTTTGAGTGTATTATATCCGTATAAATTCTGAAATACCAACAATACATTCCTTCATTTTTGGTTATAGCAAACTTGAAAATCTCCCCAACCTTGTATTTGATACGGTGTATATATCGGATCACATATATATCTACAAAATAGTTAATTTGCTTTCATTGTATTAGACTGTGTAGAACTTTATTGTGTTGAAGTAGCAATTTAAAAAAAAAAAAGATGGTTGTGATCTTGTGATTATATATAGTTTTTGAATATGTTTAAAATTGTGTGAAATTATAGTAATGTAATTAATCATTGCATATTAACTGATGAATCAAATATGATCTCTGATACATTTTATTCGTTTAATTTGTATGTTGCATGTCATTTTCTTCCGACAGTATGTATTATTTTGGGCAAAAGAGATTTTTGGATATTTAAATAGAAAGCATGAAAACACAAATAAAATGTAAACAAGTGTCTTCTTTCGTTCCTTGTAATTTTTATGTACATTCCGATTGGTTAAAACTTAAAACTAAGAAATACGAGGTAATGCTCAATGATCACCTACAGTAGTCCCTACCCTATCTACCATACAACCCACAATCGCCAACATTCGGTATTTCATTCGATGGGTACCTTGAACGCAAAAGAGCTAAAATTTGGAAGATATCAAGGGATATGATCTGTGGTGTCCTGATTCCCCGTGTTCCTAACTTGTACCTGATCACTACTCCTCCCCTGTTTTTCTTCTTGATTCTCCTCCGTCATTACCACTTCCGACGTCGAGGAATTTTCCGTCGAGTAGCTCCGGCGACTACATCTACAAAACATTAAGGGTTTGCTCGAGATGGGTGTCGCCAGAAACGTTGGTTTTGCTTCTCCCGCCATGATTACCAGATACTTCTCTTCAAAAACAGAGGATAATTCCTTGTCGTTGTTTGGTTTATCATCTCCGGCCTCAAGGTCTCTTTCTCCATCTCCGGTGTTCTCCTCGTCTCTGGCGTGTTTAGCATAGGAGCAAGCGAGGATCATAAGAGAAAAAGAAATGAGACTGAGCATCACAGCAAGCCCACAAAAGAGGTATGGCACCGGTGAGTGCCACGGTGACTGGTGAACAACCACCGGCGATGATGGAGCCATTGAAGAAGGTATAGATAGAGTCATGAATGATTGTTTTAGTTCTTAATTGGTAAATACTATAGAGTTGTATACGGGGGAGTAGTGGCCGAAAAAGGTGTTATGTAAGGTGGTATTTATAGATGAGAGTTTATTTTTAGGTATAAAAATATATGAAGTTGTGCCAAAGAAACCATTGGGTACCTTGTAGTTTCTCACGTTCTAATTTATCGTTCAACTTCGGTTTTTCCATGCATTAAAAGGGAAAACAAATATATTTAAGAAGTATGTATAATAATCATATTAATTTAAAATTAAATATAAAGGTTTAAATATTTAAAAACTTTGGATTTATAAAAAAAAAACAAAAAAAAAAAATGAATTATTAAAATTGTTAAATATAAAGGTCTAAATATCTAAGAAATTTGAATTTATAAAAAAATAATAAATTAGTAAAATTGATTTTTTTATCTTTTAAATTTAAATAAATAAATAAAATAAACTAATGAGCTTTAATTTGAGAATTTTAAAATAAGAAAGTAAGTTCATTAATGAAATTTATATTAATTTATTACAACATTTATTATAATTAATACGTAAAAGTATTATGCGAAATTTAATAAAATAGAAAACCCCATGAAATGATATGTTGAAAATAAATTAATTCAAAAAAACCAAAAAAATGATATTTGGCAAATTGAATGAAAGTGCAGCATATGATAAAAAAAAAAAACCTTCATTTATTAGAGTAGATTAAACCATCATAAATCTTTTGAATTACAATAGTCTAATCTACTCTAACCTCAAGATCCCCATAATTACATTCAGGATCCTCAAACCTCAAGATCCCCAAAATTACTTCAAGATCCTGACTGGTATTGTACATTCTCCTAGTATTTATATTGGATATATGCTTTGTTATTTTTCCACATGTGTAGAAATAGTCGGCCAAAGACTTATTCTCAACGAATATTCATTGTGACCATGCAAAAGACTCGGAAGACCAAGTTAAAAAACGGCTATGAGTTGATCTCAGAGGATCCCGAAATTATCGAACATTGTGTTATTAGCTTTAGACTATAAAAAACACTTGTATTCATCACACTACACACGACACCTAGTAGAACTACAACACTTGTTCTTACACTCTTTATATTTTCTCTATAATCAACCTTTTTCAATTAATAAAATCATCGAGGCAGGTGATCGTTATCACCTCCTAAGGTTTTATGCTGGAGATCCTAGCAAGGATCAAGGGCTTTCTTAGTAAGCAACTTGTGTCATTTTGATCATCATTTTATACTTGCTTATTCTGAACATCAGAACCTCCCGTACACTTTGGTTGATTCCTGTTTGTTCATTTTTTGACCAAAATAATTTGGGGACCATCGTGGGCCGTGGAGTTCAAAATCCTTCAAAAAATCATGTCTACACAATCAACATGTCTTCTTCCTCAATTCCTCTCATTTCATCCAAAAACCTTTCGCCGCCACTGGTTGGAGCTCCCAAGAAGGCCTCAGAAGCACCGAAGAAAAACACCTCTCCGGTCGTTACCCCGTAACTCAAGGATCATCCTATGTTGATCTCCAACAATGAAATCTTCGTTATGATGAAGATAATGGAACGACAAGTTGCCAACAGCAGGAGGATAAAAGGACAATTCTCAAAGAAGAATGAGGACAATAATCCACAAGCATTAGGAGGCAGCACCATCGATCTTGCAGCCCAAGATTTTGAACTTTGATAGCACGGGATCCTTAGCGATTCGCCGCGAGATAGGATCCTCAATACCGACATCTGTTCCCACCGTGGGTGCAACTCCAAGAGAACAAACCCATACGATCCAGGATCCTAACGAAACCTTTGTTACTCCTAATAACAAGGATCATGGTAACTCCGTCAATAATAATATCTTTACTACTGACATAATGGATCTTGATGCAGGTCTAAGCCTGATCATAGCTAAGGAGCTCTAGAAATTACTACAAATGATCTTGAGCGTGTCTGGAGTGGTTCAGCCTATACCAGAAGTATCCTGCACAAGCCACAGGATCTCAAGATTTGTTTCGGCGGTAGCTGACACTGAAGTCCCAAAGCGCTTTCAAGCCCCCAACATGAAGCCTTATGATGTTACTACATATCATGAGGAGCATGTGGTACAATATAAAGAAAGGATGAAAATCATTCACCTTCCCACTCACTTAAAAGAAGCTTGCATGTGCAAGGGTTTTGGTTCAACCCTCATGGGATCAACTTTAAAATGGCTCATTAACGTTCATCCTTATTCTATTACATCGTATGCTCATATGATTAATATATTTAACAATCAATTTTCTTGTAGTAGAACATTCGAAAATATCACTAGTGATGTCTATCGGGTGGTATAGGATCCTAAGGAATCCCTTAGGACTTTTGTGAATAGGTTTGGTAGAGAAGCTCTAAGTATCCCCAACATCAACATGTAAACTGCAGTTGAAGCCTTTAAAATGGACTTAAAGAAGACAAGGAAATCCAAAAGAGGATTCTCTCTTTTATGAAGACCTCATGATGACTCCATGCAAGAGGATGGACGATGTCGGAAGCAGAGCACTAAGTTTCATCAAGCTCGAAGAAGACAAGGAAATCCAAAAGAGGAGTAACCAACCAAGCTCTTACGATCACCCAAATAGAAATGCTGACTCATTGACCTAAAGATCCTATAAGTCAAAACCATATTCCAAACCTAACGATCATAGGGTTAACGCAATTGAAGATGAAGGAGATGAAGAAGATTTTCCAAAAATTACTGACTATTATTTTTCCGTGGATATTTTAGGTGTAATATTTGCTATGTAGGATCTTGGACACAAAGCAATATGGCCAAGAAACATAGAAAAATCCACTACTTGGAAAGAAAAATCCAAATGATGTGCATACCATTAAGATTTTGGTCACATCACAGAGGATTGAATAACTTTTAGGAATGAGATCAGCTACCATCTGGGCAAAGGATACCTCAAAGAAATCCTTGGTAGAAGAAAGGAGAGATCCAAAGAAAAAGAACAGGATCCCCTCTGTTGATGCTAAGTTAATCATGTGATTTCTGGAGGACCTAACATTTGTGGTACTTCTTATTCCACAGTAAAGAGGCACGCCAAGGTATCCAAAACGGACAAGGAAAAAGGACCATGGAAGAACACATTAATCACAAATAAGAAGGAGATCACCCTCGACAAAGCAGATAAGCAAGACATTCAGGATCCCCTTTGTTGACGCCAAGTTAATCATGTGATTTCTGGAGGACCTGACATTTGTGGTACTTCTTATTCCACAGAAAAGAGGCACGCCAAGGTATCCAAAACAGACAAGGAAAAAGGACCATGGAAGAACACATCAATCAAAAATAAGAAGGAGATCACCCTCGACAAAGCAGATAAGCAAGACATTCAGGATCCCCTCTGTTGATGCTAAGTTAATCATGTGATTTCTGGAGGACCTGACATTTGTGGTACTTCTTATTCCACAGCAAAGAGGCACGCCAAGGTATCCAAAACGGACAAGGAAAAAAGGACCATGGAAGAACACATCAATCACAAATAAGAAGGAGACCACCCTCGACAAAGCAGATAAGCAAGACATTCAGGATCCTCAGCATGACGAATTGGTGATTACTGTCTACACCGCCAAACATTTCGTCAGAAGGATCCTCAACGATGGAGGATCCTCAGTCAACATCATACTACTGGATACGTTCAAAAGAATGAACATCCCAGAGTATGAGATAGTTGTAAGATCCTCAGTGTTGATTGGATTTAGCAGTGAAACCAAGCACCCCGTCGGTGAGATAAAGCTACCTATCTACATAAAGGTGGTAAACTTAATACAACGTTTTTGTGTAATTGATACATTATCCTCTTATAATGTTATACTAGGTAGACCATGGATCCACAAAATGAAGGCCATTCCATTGATATATCATCAATGCATAAAGATGCCCACCCCATGGGGGACAGTGAAGATCATAAGAGACCAAAAGAATTCAAGGAGTGCTACAAGACTTCGATGAAATCTTCAACAATTCCATGACAAGCATAGCAATTAAAGCAGGGAAACGAGATGTGCTAGAAGCAAGAGAGCAAGATATAAAAGAAGTGCTCCTGAACCTTGAGGATCCTGAAGCTAAAGTTCTCATAGGATCCTCAATGCCCGAAAAATTCGAACATGATCATATAAGGTTCCTCAAAGCTAGAAGAAAGATGTCTGCATGGAAGCATGAGGACATGAAATGTATTGATAAAAGCATAATAACCCATAAAATTAACATTGATCCATCTTTCAGACCGGTACACCAAAAGAGAAGGAAATTTGCATCGGAAAGAAATCAAGTTATACAAGAAGTAGTAGACAAACTTCTTAAAACTGGGATGATCAAGGATGTGAAATTACCAAGATGGCTAGCGATTGTGTTCATGGTACAAAAGAAGAATGGTAAATGAAGAGTGTGTGTAGACTATACGGATCTTCACAAGGCTTATCCCAAGGATCCTTTCCCTCTACCACACATAGACTCCATGATAGATGGGACATCGGGTCATGAATTATTGACATTCATGGATGCATCAACATGATTCCAACATATCCAGTTGGAACCCTCTGACCAATGGGACATGACGTTTATAACTCCGACATGTATATGTTATTATACTGTCATTCCATTTGATCTTAAAAATGCAGGTGCAACATACCAAAGACTAGTCAACAATATGTTCAAAGAGAAAATAGGGGACACCATGGAGGTCTACATCGATGACATGGTGGTCAAGTCCAAAAATAGCTGAGGATCACTTCAAGGATCTCGAAGAAGTCTTCGACATTATGGACCAATATAACATGAAGTTGAATCCCTCCAAGTGCCACTTTGGGATGAGATCAGATAAGTTCATGGGATAGATCGTAACCAAAATAGGAATCGATGCAAGCCCGGTGAAAATCAAGGCCATCCTCGATCTAAGATCACCATCCTCGACAACAGATATTTAGAGACT